AAAGTACTTTAAACTGTATAAATAATGTAAAATTAAATTGATTTAAACAGCCAATCATACGAATGTCTGCCTATGAACGTACGGGTGCGTAGACATAAAATACTAACGTATTATAGTAAAAAGCAAAATGAATAATTTTAGCTCGAATTTAGCAAGGAACTACCTGATGGCTTTCTACACGTTTATAGATATCGATCCCAGCCCATGATTTTTTCATCGACCTGTATCACCACTAACGCTAAAATTTGAGATATATTTGGTGACTGATATTTAAGATAAATATTTCCTAAATTTTCCATCTCAATAAAATGCAGATCCTTAATCTTCTGCATGTATAGTACTATAAATAATCAAGCCACATAGTACTACAGTACTTAAACAGGTCGCTATTGAGAATGACAAATTTAGCACAATACGTATGCTAAATTTACTTCATTTTTAATGAAATTGAACAGTCTATATTTCTCGACGCCTTTAGCTCGGCTTCCTTTCAAATTCAGTTTGAATTTTTTATGTTATAACGAGATTTTTTCTATTTCTCTCGGTCACACTTTGACACTTATATACATTAATACCATTTATCCATTTATTGACGATATATTAATCACATGTTATAATTTAAATATAGAATTAACGTTCGTTCATCCTTTGGATTCTTTCGGACATTAACACTCATCTACCAATCGTAATGTATACATGTGATTTACGCAATGATACGTGATGCATAAAAAAAAAAAAATAGTCGATTAATTTATAAATATAGTAAAAAAAAAAAACCTCCCGATCTCGCTTTAAACAGACTAATCTGCCGAAAATTTCCAAACAGTCAAGCCTGAATGTCAAAGTCATCCAATGGGTTTCGGAAATAACTTATTGTGAAAATAAATGTGAGTTTAAATTGTTCTATTTTTTGTTTTAAAATTCAGAATCAGAAAATTAAATAGACGTGTTTGGTGATAAAGATTAGCTTCTTTTGATAAATTTCTACCGGTAATCAATCCTGCAAATAAGTATATACTTTTGAAAAAATAGGATTTTATAGACCATTCATTTTGAAATAAATACGTCGCTTATTTAACTGAAATCGAACATCAAATCATTAATTCCGAAACCCCAATATCTTAATATAATATTCTATTGTAGTCAACAAAATTGAAATTCATTTGGATTTATTAATTTTGGAGCCATTGCACCGCATAATGCAAGTAAAAGTAATATATACTTTTTTGAATTTTATTATTTAAAAGTAAAGTTCAACCAATTGTTATTGCAGTTCAGATAAAAATAAAATCTTATGTTACAGTATTAATCCTAAAATGATCTCTATGCACACTGTATGCTGTATCTGGATTGGGAATTGTTCCAATTCGAGAATCAGGACAGTCCCAGATGAGAACTTTGTAATTTTGGCCAACATTATGCTAACTAAAAATTTTTACTTAATTCTAACCTAACGTTAATTCTAAAGTTCTAATTCTGTCAAAATAATTTGTAAAATTCCCAGTCCCGTTCTGATTCCAATGTGAGATACGTACAACATATATTTTTATTCGGGTTTTACAAATCTTTAGTATTCACCATACCTGAAAATCTTCACTGCTATAAGTACTACGTATTTATTTCACTTAAAAGTTTTTTTAATGCAAGACAAGATTTTACACTGTTTCAAAACCCATAATTAAATATTATTCCTCATTTTTCTTTATAATTCTCCCTCCTCTTTCTATTTCTCTATTCCTTAATTATTCACAAAAAAATGAAAATAAAATCGACACTGTTTACAACTATTTTTAGGTATGAATTTTATTAGTATTGGAGACTTAAGGTTGTATATACTGACATTCATAAAATATATTTAATTAAAAGTTACGAGACCTTTAGAATGGCCAAAGTTGAAAAGTATGTATTATACCTTTGAAAATATTCGTCACCTTTTTCAATGATTAATATTAACTAATCTGTTAGTCTTCTATTAGGCGCCTTACATCGATTTTTTCAAATTGTAATTCTTGCTTATATTTTGTTTGAAATTATTAAGAACCAACGTTATCTACAAACGGTATTTTATTCTTGGATTTCTCTTATATATTATCGTTATTATTATTGACAAAATTAAAATCGGCCAAAAATCCGTAGGAACCTCCTGTACCTGGTGCCGTTCGAATATCGTTAAAAGAACCTAATAATTTTGTCGTTCCCTCTTATTGTAACGGAACAACACCGTGCACTTTTTGGGGTGCTAATGAAAGTATGCAATTCTATTTTTTTATATTATTATTATTTTATTTTTTTAAATAAACCAACAATTTATATAGTACAATTCCCTTCTGATGGTGCTGGTGTTGCATTTATTACTACGAGAGCGTCCGTAATTAATTATCCTAATCAACCTGGATGCAATCCTTTAAGGGTTTCGTTACCAACAGACCCGTGCTTTTTTAAATCAACAAACAATAATGTAACCATTGTGCCAAAATCTTATATTGGTGACATCGAAGACTACACAGTAAGTCGATATATATATATATATATATTGTACATGTAGCTATATTTATCATTAATTTGAATTTTTTTTTTTTTTTTTGAAAAGATAATGGTTGAACACTCTGTAAGAGGGGAAGCTACGTCTATTGCGCTTCGTAATGGGGTGATGGATGGAGAACTTGTTTCTTTCAACGGAACAACGATTAGAAAGATAACAAATGCTACAAGAGTATGTATTTGCATATATTTTTTTTTATTATTTTTTTCATCCAATAAGCGTCAAATGTTTTGGAATTGAACAGATGGCAGAGAATCCCAGTGCTGATGGTGATATATTTACTATCCAAGAAATTCTTACAGCAGCTGGTGCAGATTTGGATGGTATTATACTTCATCTTTTTTCAATGTATATTATCTCAACAACAACAATGCCAAAATATGGATAAGAAAGGTTTATTAAATTTTAGTTTTCAAGTAAATACCTTAAATTTAAACCTAGAAAGTTTTAATTTATACCATATTTCAAGCTACCGAACAAATTAAGCATAAATTAGTTGCTTCTTTGAGATAATATATATTATGACATTAAATTCAATTGACGTACTATACTTATTGTATTTAATGTGATTTTCTACAAATTTATAAATAATGATACTCCGTTCGTATTAAAGCACCCTCTACAGCCCCTGGCGCTAATAAAGCAGCGGGTGAAACGTATAGATCATCTGGAATAGTCATTGTTATCGTAATTGAATATAAAAATGTTCAATTCAAGGTAATTTTGAAATTTAAGAAGGCAATCTCTTATATTGACTAATAAGATTGATTTGTCATTTTTATTTTTAGAAAAATCAAATAGCTTATAAATATTTACCCCAAGTAATTGATGGAAATGAGTATAAAGCTGTAGAAAACATATATAATGCTACTGATGGTTCGATTACGCTTATTGATAGACACGGGTAAAAATGATATTCATTTTTACTTGCTCTTTTGTACTTTTTGCATTCAATTGTTTAAGAGTTTCATTTAAAATAATGCAGTATTCGTTTAGTATTTCAAGAACATGGAACAATAGGTGAATTCCAATTTGTCGCTCTTCTTACAGCTTTAGTTGCAAGTTTTGCACTTTTTGTGAGTTTATCCTTTTTTTTTGCATGCCTCTTAATTAAGATTAAATAGTGTATCTTAATATTAATTGTTTTCACAGAAAATTGCCGAGTTCCTAGTAGAATTGATCATGCTAAAAGTAGTTCCAGAAAGATATAGGTACCAAGAAGCCAAGTACGCCCTTCGTGTGAGGAGTGAAGATTTAGGTCAAGATTTAAAGACTTAAAAATTGTCATATGAATCATTCACACTAATCACCTACAGTTACCGTTTGTTACATGTTTTATAAAGACTAAATATTGTTGACCAAACTTTTAACCTCATTTTGAGTGATTCAATAGGTCATTTATATCTTCTTATTGTAATTGACTTTTTGTATAAATAAAGGCCACATTTCGTTACCTTGAATATAAGAATTTTTCAAGTATTATTACTATATTAACAATCAATTAGTATCAAAATTGCATGCTGGTCATCTATTAAAATTAAACCATATATTTTTTATATATAGCAACTTTTTTTATCATGATTTCTATATATGCATAAAGTATTTTTATTAGTAAAAAGTTTTAAAAGGTTTCTAATACTGTAATAAGTGCAATACAGTAGTTATTTGTAAATATATAAAAGTATTTTAAACAAGTTTACTAAAATGCACCTATGGTGCTAAACACCATAAGTACGATTTCTCAAAAACATACCAAGTAAACAGTATCGGATACTCTAAATAAA